ACACGCCTATGAATGCACATGTGTAAATAAACAGGTTAAGTAATGGAGTCACTGGGACCAGCAGTTGGCGCAGTGGCTATGTCGCTGGACTGCTACGTAGTCGATCACGGTTCGAGTCCCAGACCCAGTGGCTTAAACTCACGCTGGGCACGTGTGTGTGCATGCCCAGGATCCCAAGAGGAGAATGGAGGAGAAAGGATTGTGGCATGGCCATCCTCCTTGGGGGGTGATTTCTCGTTTTCTGTTTCTGTCTTTCAGGCAAGCTCACGTGCTCTATAGCAAAAACCTTTCTAAAATAAAAAAAGAGAGAAAGAGAGAAAGAGAAAGTAATGTTTGACTACATTTTCTTGGTCAGAGAGACTTTACAAAAACTGCTCAACTGTGAGATCTCTCTACAGATAGATCTTTATTCCCAAAGGATATTCTCAAATTTGAGAGGTAGATGAGAATGTTCATTTTTATCAAAAAAGATCACGAGATGATAAAGGTATGCGAGACTGGTGTGGAGAACAGGGAGGAATTATAGGACAAAGACGCTGCCCTTAGTCTCACTGGATTCTGTGTTGCATCGCGACCATAGGAGCAAGTATTCCGTCACAGTGACTAGGTCAGACAGCCTGCAGCCAGGACCACAGAAAAGTCGTCACTACAGTGTTCACTCGGAAAACACCCTGGGTGATTTGAATCAACTGCACGAGGTTTCCAGAACTCTGTTGTCATTTATAAGAAATTGGTTTCATTTCTCTAATCTTCACTTAGTGTCTTTCATTTACTATACGCTTCCTTTAAAGGATATAGACTGGGTTGATCTCAAAGCGAGGGATGGAGAAACAAATTCTTAATTGTCATGGGGAAACAGTCACAAAATCACAGGGATGAGTCGAGCATTTTTATTTTAAAAATGTTTTTAAATTAATTTATTATTATTATTTTTAATTTTGCTATTGATGAGATGCACTCACCAGACAGAGAGAGAGAGGGAAAGCAAGAAAACAAGTCACCAGGTCCACGACTCAGACCAGGGTTGGCCACATGGGAGTCCAGCTCCTTAACCACCACACCATCTGCTGGCCCCTATGTTTAAAAATTAAAATGAATCCAAAGATCTGTGCTTCACCACAAAGCAATTAAAATTTCATTCTTCCTATGAAGAACTATTCATACAATGGCCATTTAGAACCCAGTGTATTGCTTTTTGGCCTATCTTCTCAACCAAATTATGACTCTTTAAGGCAGCAACATGTCCTTGAGGGATATTGCAGTGAAATGCTGTCACATATCTGCGTGTGGACATTTCAATGTAAGTAGAACGATCTAGAACAATGGATGATCAAAGTACCTTGGCTTCTCCCCAGTCTCTCATTTCTCATAATGAATCTACTTTGTCAAAGAGGCTCATGCATCCTTCCTGTGAGTCAAGTACTTGAGCAGGCGTCAATCAACAGATACTTACTTTTAAGACTTTTATAACAACTCTTTGTAAGCATTTCAGTTGGAATACATCTTATTTCCAACAAAGATTATTATCAGTAGTAATGTTATTATTTTTTTAAATTATATTTATTCATTCATTTATTTTAATTTGATCAGAGAGAGACAGAGAAAGAGAGAGAAAGCAAGAAAAGAAATCACCAGGTCGGGGACTCGAACCACGGTTGGCCATGTGGGAATGTCCAGCGCCTTAATCACAACAACATCTGTTGGTCCCGGTAATATTATTATTTATTGAAAATAAGAATCTAATCTGTAATGCCTATTTTTTAAAAAAAATTATTTTATTTAACTTTATTTATTTATTTATTTCAATTTGACCAGAGAGGGACAGAGAGAGCGGGAAAACGAGAAAGCAAGTCGCCAGGTCCGGGATTCAAACCACAGTGGGTCATATCGGAATTCAGTGCCCCCAACCACCATGTCACCTGCCAGCCCCTGCCCTGTGATGCCTATTTTAACAGTTAAAATAGTACCAAACATGCTAAGTAAAATATACTGTAACAATTATTCTCTCTAAATATGACCAGCCCATTTCGGTTTCCCGTTTATGTACTCTATCAAATGCTCCTGGCAAAACTGATCATGATTACTGATGAAGAACTTGGAGAGAATCGAACCAATTAACCAAAATGCCCATTTTAACTGCTGTGTGCACTGTGCACAATGAGAAAGAGAACCACAGATGAATCACCTGCCCCAAACGGGATCTAGTGAACGCCGGACTTGTTACTAGATCCAAAAGGTGTTCAGTAAGCTCCCTGAATCTCATTCAGGAGGCACAAGAGGAAGGTTGGAAATTTGGTAGGAGTCTACAGAACTCCTTGCCGTGGGCACAATCCGTGCTGTGCTGCCCAGGGGGCATTACGCTATGTCATTTCCTTTTGTCTTCTAAATATCCCAAAATGGTTGGAATATAGATTTCAGCAGTTGAAAATCCAGTTGCCACGCCTCTTTCTGTCTCCTGAGCTGAGGGAGACAAAGAGTGTGGAGAAGGCTTTGGAGGGGCAGTGGGCCTATTGGACAAATAAAACCGACGGTATTTGAGGAAACAGTGAAGGGGCTGGGGAGCAGGTAAATAGAAGGAAGACTGCACAGGCTTCCGAGCCAGACACACCCGAGTGTGAGTCCTGCTCAGTCACTCACGCCCAGCCTTTAGCAGGTCACTTAACATGGATGAGCCCAGTGTCCACGTGTGTAAAAGCGGCCAGCCCCAACATGCAGCAGTGAGAGAGCATGTGGAAGGAGCCAGATCCCACATGGCTGATCACAGTCTGAACTGCGGCCCTGTGACTTGAAAAGCACCCCGGGTCCATGCGCATGTGTGCCCAGAATCCTGATGGGACGGAGAAATGGAGGGAAAAGGATTGTGGTGTGATCACATCCCGCTGAGAAATGTCTTCTCTCTCTCTTTCTCATCTCACTGTGGTGAGCACATGTCCCTACTGGTGCTAGAAAATTCTTTTTTTGTTTTAAAGTGGAGAGGTGAGCTCTCCTTTTTTTTTTTTTTTTTTTTTTTTGAGAGAGATTTTCACTGTAGGGCGCGTGCGCTCGCCAGACAGAGAGAGACATAGAGACAGAAAGCGAGAAATCACCCCCCAGGGGGGATGGTCACACCGCAATCCCTTCTCCTCCATTCTCCTCTCGGGATCTTGGGCACGCACGCACACGCACCCGGCGTGAGTTTTAAGCCACCGGGTCCGGGACACGAACCACGGTCGACTACGTGGGAGTCCAGCAACATAGCCATTACGCCAACTGCTGGTTCCCAGAAAATTCTTTTTTTGAGAGAGAGAGAGGTTTTGTTATAGGGCGTGTGCACTCACCAGAAAGAGAGAGATAGAGAAAAAGAAAGCAAGAAATCACCCCCACGGGGGGATGGCCACGCCGCAATCCCTTCTCCTCCATTCTCCTCTCGAGATCTTGGGCACGCACATGCACGCACCCAGTGTGAGTTTAAGACACTGGGTCCAGGACTCAAACCGCAGTCAACTACATGGGAGTTCAGTGACATAGCCATTTACTATCTGCGGATCCCTCTTTTTTTTTTTTTTTTTAGAATTATTTTATTTAACTTTATTCATTCACTTACGTATTTTAATTTGACCAGAGAGGGACAGAGTGTGAGAGAAAGAGAAAAGGAAAGTGAGAAGGCAAACCGCCAGGTTCAGGACATGAACCATGGTCAGCCATGTGGGAGTCCAGTGCCCTTAACTATGCCATCTGCCAGCCCCGACATTAATTCTTCAAAAACAAACGGAAAAACTACGTTACAGGGATGTCAAGAGACTGAATGCATTAATGTCTGGAAGATGTAATTGGCACAGCGGCAGTGCTCAGTAAACATTTCTTCTTTCCCTTTCCTCTACAAAGTAATTATTAGGATCTTTACTCCCAATTCTAAAAGTGACTAGCTCATTTAGCATATAACGCATTATGCTAGCACTGAAAAATGTCAGTGCCGGGGATAGCAGGTGGCGTGGTGGTTAAGGTGCTGGATTCCCACATGTCCAATGGAGGTTCGAGGCCCGGACTCAGTGGCTTGAAAATCAAAATAAATAATTGTGTGGGGTTTTAAATTTTATTTTATTTTATTATTTTTTTAAATCAGGGTCTGTTACTCCTTACATTTTCAAAATTTTACCTATTTTACTTTGTCATATTCACTAATGTATTTTTTTTAAATATTTAGTTAGTTAGTTCCATTTGTTATTGTTATTTTTTAATTTGACCAGAGAGAGACAGAAAGAGAGAGAAAGGCAAAGTGAGAAAGCAAGCCACCAAGTCTGGGACTCGAACCACAGTCAGCCATGTGGGAATCCAGCACCTCTAACCACCACACCACCTGCTGGGCCCACTAATATTTATCTTGACATCGAGTTGGTATTTATACAAATACTGAATAGTGCAGGTAGTGACTGACTTACTGTAATTTGATTCAATTTAAAAACACTTAGCGAATACCATTATAGCCAGTTCCAGAGAAATTAAGAAACTCAAGACAGTCACCACCCGCAGAAACGGATGGCGTATACAAGACGGGCCTGCATTCGCTGGCCGAGCTCTCTCCAAACCCAAGGTTCTGTGGCCGTTGAGTTCGGACAGCAAAGCCAAGTGTATTATTTTAGTGATCCCCCAACCCCCGCACAAATGTCCTGGCACCGTTTGATCCATCTGGATTAATTTTGATAGGAGAAAGAATAGGTCACTTTCAGCTGATGTTGTCAAATACAAACAGGCATCTGGCTATTGGAAAAGATGGCGGAAGATAAGAGCTGGGTAATTTTTTTTTTAGGTACACGTAATAGTTAAATCTAAATTTTCACTTTTTCTGGCCTTCCGTCACTTCCACATTTTGAAGAGAAAAAAAAACCTGCATGTTTTCTGCATGACCATGGATCAACCATTGCTACCTGCTGGACAGGAAAAGTGGCATTTAGGGAACAGCCATCTGCTCGCTATGGGCTCCGAGTGAGGTCAGAAAAGCTAATTAGTACCCTCACCCTCACCTTTGCCCTCTCCCAGCCGCACGCCTCCATCATCTGACCGGCTCCCCTGACCACCCACACCAGCTTCTTCCTGCATCATCTGGTTTGAGGAAGCCAGAGATGTTTGCCTTCCTAGGAAGAGATAAGAACAGACTTGAGCAGCGCCTTCAACCATGAATTTCTAAAATGTGAAAGGAATTTACACAGATAACCTCCTTCTTCACGTAGCAATGCTCTGTATGACTGATGCTGTTATCTTACCTACAACCTTGTTTCTTCTCTATCCAGGAAAGTTGGAAGGTCTGCAATGCAACCTATTGTGTAATTGGCAGTTGCCTAATGATAGAAAAGTATTTCCTATGCTGAGTCTTCTTCATGGATTTCATTTAGGGTTGCAAGGACAGAAATAAGATTAAAAAAACAGCTCACTCTGTAACTGTAGTGTATTTCATCATAAAGCCACAGGAAATAGTGAGAGGGTTAACTTGAAGCAGTAATGACAGCCCAAATGCCATTACTCATTAAAAAGATGTCAGATAAATGGAACAGCAGCACACCAAACTAAAAGGTCGTTGTTTCACAGAATAAACAGATTGAATGTTCTTTCTTTTTCTTTTCTTTTCTTTTCTTTTCTTTTTTTTTTAAGAGAGATTTTTGCTATAGAGCGCATGTGCACGCTGGAGAGACAGAGATACAGAAAGTGAGAAGTCACCCCCTCCAGGGAGATGGCCACACCACAATCCCTTCTCCTCCATTCTTCTCTTGGGGTTTCAGGCACGCAGGCACATGTGCCAGGCATGAGTTTTAAGCCACTGCGTCTGAGACTCGAACTGTGGTAGACTTCATGGGAGTCCAGTGACATAACCATTATACCATGTGCTGTTCCCAGATTGAAACTTCTAACAAGTAAACAAGCAGATTAGCTATTGACAGGCAAGAAATATGATTCTCCTATTTGCTTTGAAAAACAAAGTGATCTGTTTCACAAACAAAAATCCTTGCTAACCTAGGATTTGGTTAAAAAATAACTGTATATTTTATTTTCCTGCACTTCTTATTCTGACTTATTTTGTTCTTTTTTTTCCCTACCTTTTGGTAATAAATGCTATATGTTCTTTTAAAAATTCTTAACACTGCCAGCTTAAAGGGGAAAAGGCAATGGAAAACAAACTTTGAAAATGACAAAAGTGTAAATAAGTGGTTCTGAATAAGAATCCGATTAGAATCTTGGAGATAAGCTTCAGTTAAGCATATTAGGAAAAGACTTGCTTCATGGTTGTATTTCAAACACAATAATGTAAACTCAGACAAGAACATCTATGAGGCTTGGTTTTTTTTTTTTTTTTTTTTTTTTTTGGGGTTTTTCCTATCAGACAGACAGAGAGAGACATAGAGACAGAAAGCGAGAAATCACCCTCCAGGGGGGATGTTCATGCCGCAATCCCTTCTCCTCCATTCTCCTCTCGGGATTTTGGGCACGCACGCACACGCGCCCGGCGTGAGTTTTAAGCCACCGGGTCCAGGACGCGAACCGTTGTCGACTACGTGGGAGTCTAGTGACATAGCCATTACGCTAACTGCTGGTTCCCAGGAACATCTATGAGGTTTTGATGTCAGAATTTTTACCTCACTAAGGGAATTTGCTAAGAAAAAAAATTATCCCTGTGTATCTTTTTATTATTATTATTTTAATAACAGAAGGAAAGGAAGACCAACCAAGTTTATTAAAAATATTTTTCTAAGTTGGATGAAATGAAGCTGTGACCCAGATCTGCACAGAACACCAGATGCTTCTGACCTGTAGGAGATATTGCAATTTTTTTCAGATGCTTACCCTCTGAACTATTGCCCGTGTTTGAGGAATTCCTCACTGTTAGATTCTTAGTAAGAGACCGGGCCCACTAAAAAGTCAGCTCCCATGTTTGCGGGCCTACATGCGATCAATCAGGTGCACCAACTCCAGAGATTTTGTTTAAGGGTTTGCCACAGGGCACATACCCTCGCTGGAGAGACAGAGGGAAAGTGAGCAATCACCCCCCAAGGAGGAAGGCCAGGCCACAATCCCTTCTTCTCCAGTTTCCTCTTGGGATTTTCCTCTTTTTCCCAGAATTCTGTGAGCTGCCCAATGTATTTTCTAATATTGGGTTATCTGGAAAGTCATTTTTGCATAGAAAAACATAAAAAAATGTTTCTGCTTTAGTCAGAACCAGTTTTCGTCGCCTGTAAGGAAGAACACAGAGGGACACAGAGCCTCTGGAAGAGTGACTTAGAATTAAAAAGAGAGGAACCAGAGGAACCATACAAAGACCCCTGGCATGATTTTCAAGCAACAGCATCTGGGACTTGAACTGTGGTCAGCCATGTGGGAGTCCAGTGCCTTAACCACCATGTCGCCTGCTGGCCTCACAAGTTTTAGATTATTTTTTTTGAGATCTGATCTTATTTATTTGTTTCTCTTATAAAATCTTACTTTTGACTGGATTCAGACTTAGAAATAGAGGCTCTCAGAGAGGACTTGCCTCTTTTGGCGATCTGTTCTTGGCATTGTTCTCCTTCATTCTCTTGGCCAAACATTTAGCATATTCTGCTACCTCTTCCATATTTTTCCTAGTATGTTCTTTTTTAAGAATTATTTTACTTAACTTTATTTAGTTAGTTATTTTAATTTGACCAAAGAGGGACAGAGCTGGGGCGGGGGAGTGAAAAAGCAAGCTGCCAGGTCCAGGTCTTGAATCACGGTCGGCCATGTGGGAGTCCAGTGCCCCTATCCACCATGCCACCTGTTGGCTCCAGTATGTTGTTTCTTGAGATCAGTACCCCGGCGTTTGTGTTGCAGGACACGTGTAGTCAGTCACAAGACATGCTTTGGTGCTAGGTTTCTTACCTTCTTTATTTAAGGGCTTTCTTACAACATATTGGTAGACATCGTCTTCTTTAGAGAGATTGAAAAGTTTTCAGATTCTGCTAGCTCTCTTAGGCCCCAGGTGACAGGGCACATGGTAGTCAGTCCTGGAATATCTTTCTCTCCTTTTTTTTTTTCTTTTTTTTTTTTTAATAATAACCGAGTTAGGGATGCTCAGATCGGCATCCACAATGCAACCCCGAACACATGTACACTTTCTTTCTCCAGTTCTCCTTGGTCTGTAACAGGAATGTCCCTGACTCAGTAGCAGGCGGACACGGCCGTGGGTCAAGACACCCTGCTTCATGGGGAAACCGTGTTTGTCGTTTTCACTACCGATCTGGACTGCATAACCCTTCCATTCTTCACCCAAAGCGTCAGCAGCAACTTCTGTGGCCATACGCTTCTCATAAAAAGTGCAGAGTTCGTGTTCATCGTCCACTTCAATGAGTTTCTGGAAGCCAGTGTCAGGAAAGGAGATACTCAGCTTCACCTTGAAGCAGCTGATCTCCTCCAAGGTGCCATGAAAAAGAGCAGGTTCCAGATTTTAACTCTGGGAGAGCGGGGACTGCATCCTGCTAGGACTACCCAGTTCAGAAGGCGGTGGAGACAACAGTGCCGCCCTACCTGCAGTCCTGACAGTGGCAGCTCTGGACTCTTCTCTGCTGGCAGGAACAGTGTCCTCCCCGGGCAAGTTCTAGGGCCCTCAGGTGTAGTCCCCTTTGACCTGGGACCTCTTTTTCCCAGAATTCTGTGAGCTACCCAATATATTTTCTAATAATGGGTTATCTGGAAAGTCATTTTTGCATAGGAAAACACAGACAAATGTTTCTACTTTAGCCAGAACCAGTTTTTGTTGCCTGTAAGGAAGAACACAGAGGGACACAGAGCCACCGGAAGAGTAACTTAGAATTAAAGAGAGAGGAACCAGAGAATGGAGTATAGTTTTTTTTTTTTCTTTCTTTTTTTTTTTTCTTTTTTTTTTTTTTTTTTTTGTGTATTTCACTATGTCCCACAACAG